ACCTCCTCTCCAACCATAACTTAGGACCTTCAGGAAGTCCCCCTGCTGCCCCCTCCCCCTCACACTGGGAACACGGATCTCTGCAGGTCTCTGAGCCTTGTGAATGCAAGACAGTCAGATCCTGGGAAGTGCCACAGTCTGGGCTCTACAGAATGGACAACTCCGCCTCCTGCTTTGGGAAGGGCCCTTCTTGAAGATGAGGAGGAGGAGGACAGGGTGCCTTCCTCCCTCAGCAACAGGAAGCAGTCAGGACCCTTCTGTTCCTAGCTGCGGTCACCTGCCATTTCCTTCGAAGGCAGGAGGGAAAGTGGAAGCAGCCCAGCCTACTCCACCAGAAGGAACCCAGCAAAGAGGGATAGAGGCTGACCCCTCCCCACAGCCCCACCACCTCTCCCCCAAACTCCTCACCCTTCAGCGCTTGAGATGAGCTAAGAGGGGAGAGGGTTTTCCCAAAGGATCTTCACCATCAATGGGTCCTTTGACCTGAAAGCCCTCACCTCCCTTCCTCCTTCCCCCCAAAACAGCCCCACCAGGGACACTCACCTGCCAGGTGGCTGCTAAATGATCTTGACGCTTCCTACATTGGGAAGAAAGACAAAGAGTGAGTCTCTCCCTTGTCCAAATCCTCTGAGGAGGAGGCATCTCTCTCTGCACAATTAAACCTCTTCAGCTCCATGAACCTCTCAGAGGGGACCAGGCTGTGCAACCAGAACATTCGCTAACAACTGGGGGTCATGACAATTTGGGTGGTTTCCCTATTTCCCACCCCAGAGCCAAGGGGTTCTTTCCTCCAAAGGGGGCCAGGCTCTGCCATGCAGGCTCTGGAGCTGCCTTCCCTGCACTGAATGAATGAGGCTGGAAATCCAACAGGGAGAGAGCTTCCCTTTCTCCTCTGCAGGAACAAAGCAGTGGGAGAAAAGTGAATTTTGTAACTGTTAGAAATCTAGGAAAAGAGAGGAGGTGGGAGAAAAGAGAAGCACTTGATTTTGGACAGAGTAAAAGGAGGAACAAGGAAAAAAAGAGAAAAAATTATTAAAATTGAAGGAAAAAAGAGACTTTGGGAGCTCCTTGGGACAAGCAAAAAAATAAGCAATTTCACTTAAACCCCCTTTAATGAGAAACCACTTTTCCAATCTGATACTTTCTGTTCATATAATCATGTAAAATAATTTAATTGTTCGTGAACGACTTGCCATCTAAGTAAACAGAAGAAAAACAATTCTCCCACCCACATTTACATTATGCGAAAAAGTGTCCATAGAAAGGGCAACGATATCAAGTTAAATCTCAATAGATTTATTTATCCTTTGTTCCCGTTCTGTCCCAATAAATCCTGGTTTCACCAGAACCACACACAGAGGGAATGCATGGGGTGTGCATTAGGGGGCCCTTTAAAAACAGGGGGAGTGGGGGGCTCTCCCTCTTTCCACCCCCCCAACCTCCAGCACTCTTGCTAAGAGGCGAATTGCTCTTCCTCATTCAGAGCGGCTCCCTCCGGCTTATATGGCCCTGAACTGTTGGATCCTTTGTCACTGGCTGGAAAAGAAAGAAAAGAAGGTGGGGAGGTCAGTCCCTTGGCCGGATGGGAAGAGATGGAGAAACTGCTCTTTCTGACCCCATCTCCCTCTCTCCTTCACACACAGACGCACAAATAGACCCACAGAGTTTCAACCAAACTACTTTAACTAAGAAACATAGGAAAGAATTCTTAACATTTATATCTTTCAACACAGAGCAATATTCCAGCAATTCTATAGCCACAAGGTGCAACTGAGGTGAGGATACGGATGGCTCCAAAGTTTCTTTCTCCAGTCACTTCATACTTTGAGAGCCTTGTGGTGGCAGACCCAGAGGAGATCTAGCTGGCATCTACCAAAGCTCCTTTTCTCCTAAATCCCTTCTTTGTTCACTACTTTTATCGAGCTTCCTGACCAGATTATGGCCAAGCCTTTCCTTTCCGCGTGCTTAGAAAACAGAACAGCTTCTCCATCAGATGGATCTTCCACCCAGCTGGGTCTTCTCACCTTCTCGAGGGTTCCATGTACCAGATGTTTCTCCTTATGGTCTCCACTCCCAGGGACAGCCTTGCTGTAATGAAAGGGGACCCACCTCCCCCAGCTTGGTTTTTGGGAGGAAGAGGAAGATGGCACAACGCTGCACCTTCATCAGCTGCTTTTGTGTCTGGACACATACAAACACACACACAAACCCTTCAACTGATGCTACCTCTGATCCCCGCTCTGAATTGGAGCTAACATGTAAAGAGGACAAATCACTCACTTGATGTTTCCTCGTAGCCTTCTAGACGTTTCTCTGCAAGGATAAAAATCAGTCAAAGCTAAATAGAATCCACCAGAGATCATCCAATCTCTCCCTCTGTAGGAGGAAGAGCCCCAGGAGATGTTTTGACAGTTGCTTAGTTACAACCTCTTCTGGTAACTACTATTAACAGACACAGGAAGACCTTCAGACTGCAAAGACACCACCAGATTTGCTCCAGGAGAGACCTTCTGCCTCTGAGATGGATGGAGGGAAATGGGGAA